TTAAGTAAAAAGAAAAAAATACTTTTAAGTCACTGTGTTACATATGCATTTTAATGGCATTTCACTAGAAACAGCATTGTAAGAACCTGAATTAAGAACTAGGTAATTAAAACTACACTCAAGCCTAAGCTGCATGAATATAGGTAATTGCAGATTAATATTCCACTGTAATACTTATGGCTGAGTTAAAGTTGCCATGGGAAACAAGCCTGAATTTCTTCACTTTTCAGCAACTCATGATCACCTTCAATAAAGGTTTTGGCAGGTGATTTCTAGTGCATTGAGCTTAACAGCCACACAAAAATGGTATGAGAAGAAAGCTGCTATGTGGGGACATCCAGATAGCACAGACAAGCACATGTCCTTTATCTGCCTCTGAGTAGGATTGTGACCACATCTGTTACTGTGTGAGACACCTTCTGCATTCCCATCCCAGCCTTCAGCTAGGATTGACTTGATGCAGGTTCCGCAGAGAACCACGTGGAAGGCATACAGAAGGTACCTTGCAGCCTGCTTCCCAGCAGACCAGCAGTCCCTCCATCACCTCCTCCTGCAGCAAGTTTGTGATTTCAGGGACATATTCCTCCTACAAAGTAGCCTCAGATACGGCTCCCAAGGCAGCTTCCCTATCATCTATCTATTCACCCCGCACAGAGAGCTCAGCAGGGACTGCACATCTGTTGCTATGGCCTCAATTTGGTGGAAATCAACATCCATTCCCATTACAAGGTCAGTCTTTAAATCACAGTATCCCAGGAACAGAGACACAGGATTCAGTTGTCCCTGCCATGGGAACAAGACCACAGGTAGAGCAGCACAGGCAGCGATCGTCGCAGCCACTCCAGCTGTGGGCTGGAACTGCCCGTGACTGTGGGCTGGAACTGCAGGATGGATGTTCAGGGGAAAACCCCTGCAATGCTCAAGGAAACACAGACCGAACATGCTTTAACCTTCTCCTGCATTTGTACTTAATATTATCTTACAGAAACACTGGCTTCCATTCGTTAATACACTTTTGCCAGTCATGAAATGTACTCTGATCATCCAGATTTGTTTGTACACTTAAAAGTAACTTAGTAACTGAACATATGCTTAGTCACAGTCTCAGTGTTTACAGGTTTATGTTGAAATGGTGAGTGATGTTTTGTATTTATTAGTATGTCCAGTTTCATCAGACAGCAATTATAATTACAAATTCTCCCAAAACAATGATCAAAATGCAAGCTGAACAAATTTGAAATATGTAGGATAAACTAAAGAAAAATATCAAGATACTTTTGTATTTAAAATGCACTATTTAAGAGAACACAGAAAGTACTGTCTGTAAACAATTTGTTCTTCTGCCTCTGGTCACAACCTTCTTTGGCAATGAGAAGATCTGAACACTTCATACTTTCCTTTTACAGAGAGTTTGAAAGGCGAATTTCTGATTCCCAACTGATTATCAAATTTGAGTCAATCTGAGACACTGAACATAAGCACCTGAAAAAACTGACATGAGAAAAAGCAACTTCATCATTATCAAAAGCTCATTTAGCAGCTTAGCAACTCCTGGATCCAGCTCCTTCTGCAGGGTCAGGGGTCTGATGATCTTTTACACTTCCAGGCAGCAGACATACGAAGCTTGGATTTTATTTGATTTTCATTTAAGTGGCTTTAATAGATTATAGTAGAGATTAACATCCTATATAGAAGGCTAATTTCAAAATCATCTTTGAACAGATCTGATTTCTACCTTCAGACTTTTTATATTAAAAAAAAACAACATTGCTTTTCATCCACTCTGCTGAAGTTGAAGGCAAGGTACTTGGCTTGCTGACTGAAAGAGGCACACCCTCTTACTGCATTAATAAAACAAGGTTACAGGCAGCCATGGATCTGAGCCTGTGGAGCTGCTTAATACAGTCACTGAAAGCACTGACCACCATAAACACTGATGTATACAAGGACAAAGGGACAAAAGAGCAAGGCACTCACTTATTAATGCATCTTCTCATGAAGCTAAAGCATCATACACACCCAGCTCTACGGGCTGACAGTGTATAAAAGCAGAGGGTACTTATAAACTCTTAGCAGACAGTAAAGGAGAAAACTCAGAGCTTAAAAATGAAGCACACCAGCACCACCATGGTTCAGGGTCCACTGACCTCCGCACAATGACAGCTCCCACCTGACCCCATTGGGCTCTGGATCACATTCCAAAGGCACAAGGTAAGCTTTAAAGACATGCAAGGGGCCAGCCATAAACATCTCTTACCACCAACCTCTAATGACCTCTGGCTGGCTAAAACACTACATGACACAAGACTGTACAGTTAGTCCCCCCTCCCCACTTCTTTTCTCTCTGGTGTGGTCCAATTATTCATAAATACATACCAAAAGCCAACACAGCCAAGTGGTTTCTGTGTGTATAAACCTGCACTTTGATCTAGGAGTGTATCTGCTGAAAGCTGTCACAAGTCAGGGCTGCAAGGATGCTCCTGTTCCTTTGTGGGTGTAGGGTAGGGAACATGAAGGACCCTCAATGCCTGACCCAGGAGTGGTGAAGCAGAGGGCAGTGGCCACAAGGCACTCTGCCAGCGGTCCCAGCCACTGGAGCCACAATGCAGACAGCTTCCCAGGGGAATACCACCATCCTTGACCCTCCTTGATCCCCATTACAGAGGCCATACCACGAGACCTCAGAGAGATCGGGCAGTGTGAAAGGGAATGGAAATGAAGGCGTCCTCAGGGCTCACCACTGAGCATGAAGGACTTCCCCAGGGATAAAGCCAGTGAGGCTGCCAGTTGCAGAAGAGCATGAGTAAATACAGCAGGAGGGGGAGCAGATCTGGCAGTCACACATCTTAGTGTAGATAAAAAGATAGCTCTTTCAGTAGTTTCTTGTAAGAAGCCAGAATATTTAGAAGAGCAGTTAGTGAAAAATGTGAAGTGTGCTGCATGGTGGCAAGTGCACTCTGCAAGACTTTTAGGCTGAGCTGGCTAAATTTACAGCTATGCCTACCCACTTAAAGTAACCTGAATCACAGCTTAGCTTAACTCTGTACATGCAGCTTCCTCATCAAATTCCAATGCATTTGAATTTCATTGTATCTAGACTTCTATTTTGCAGGTATTAAAACAAAAGCGGAAAAATTAGCAGGATCACAGTGAAGATCAGCACCTCACCATTCCTAGCTCTCAGGTCTGTCCTCAGACAAAACCTCCAAAACCTGTCTGCCACTATGCCAGTGAAAGACCTTGCCAATAGAACCTTGCAGAAAACATCACTGAAATACATGGTACAGTTTGCTCACCATGACATACAGCCTACCAGTGAAGAGGGCAAAAGCCATGATGGTCAGCAAAGAGGTAAGAGGTAGATAGGGGCATCAACTAATGTCTCATTTTATAAACTTACCCAACTGGCAGGCACCTTCAGCCTTTCCAGCTACACTGAGCCCCATGCAGCAAAAGTAATTTCTTTATTTGTCAAACTAATTTGCTGGTGAGGCTGTGAGGGACTGACAGCCCTTTCCACACATTATATGATGCAGACAGGCACTGAAGAGCAGACTGGAAAAAAAAACCACTGAAGAACATCTCCACCTTAAAGGTGCTATCTCACCAACAAAATATATAGCAGATCTGCATTGGCCCAGACCATTACTTTCCCTGGCAAGGACTTGGGGACAAAGCTCCTTAAAACAGTAGTAATCATATTCCACTCATGCTCCTTTTTACTGCCAGCTGTAAACTAGCTCCACATGCATCATGGTTTTGCATCAAAATGTGCACAGACCAAACCCATATCCAAAGGGACAAGGTAGATCCAATTTACAGCTTTGACAGGTCTGTGCACCCGAGGCGGAGCATGCAGGAAATAGCCTGACATCTCACTTGGAGAGCAGTTAAGACCCTGCTACCAGAACTGGATGCAGAGGCACAACAGCCTCCCACAAAGAGCCAGCAAAAGAGCAGGGAATTTGATGTCCATTTTTTGAGAAACATAAGAGGCAGGCGGCACTCATCAAGGCTCTACTGGGAAAGAGAGGAGTCAACTTCAATCCCAACTTGCAGCATCCCTTAGCTAGGACAAGCCCAAGGGAAACCACAGCTGCAGTGGGAAATGAATACACTGCATCCAGTCACTTCAGTAATGAGACACCACACTGAAAACTGCTTAAAGCCTTTCATAGTTAAAACAAAGCAAAAGGAACTTATTCTAACCCACTGCAATAAATGCAGGACAATTGCTTGGCAGGGGAGGGTGAGTTCAATTTAGACTCAGAAATTCTGTTTGTTCACTACCAACCCAATATTAGGGTTTTTTTCTACTTAGTACAGTTTTCCAATTTAAATGGAAAACCTAGGCTCATCCTGCTGACAACTGAAAATATATTTACTAATATGGTCTACACTACTGTGGAAGAACTGCCTGCAGAAAAACCTCTGTACTCCATCTGGATCTCTGTATGTCTCAAGTGGTAGAGCACTGGAAGCTCTCTCTGAAGGAGAGATCACACTCCTGTCTCATCACACTCCAGAGTTAACACCCAGGCAAGATATCTGATCTCACTGAAATTATCTACAAATAGCATTATGTTGCACATATTCCTATAATTCAAAATATTCTCTTCCTAAAGCTGTTCACTACTAACAGCCAGTTTCCTTGCAGAATCAAACAAGGCTGCCATCTTCTAATGCAAGTTCCCAGCCAGAAATTTTTAGACCCTCCCCAATTAAGATGGATGACAATTATACATGACCTAAAGATGTTTTTGATAACACATGAATTGTGACTTCCTTGATGGAAATCGGCCTCCTTCATTCATTCCCACCAAACAGTCCTGGTATTGCTCCTGAGACAACAGGTGACTGGCAAGAGTCCTGGAGAACCAGCAACAGAAGGTGGGACAAACCAGAAAAAATGAGTGAGCCAGCACTCTGCTTTTTCCTTTTACCTCTCAGAACATCAGTAGGAACTTGCTAGGGGATAATTAACAGGATTGACTATTTACCTGAGGATGAATCTGTGGTTTATCACACGTAGCCTCAAAATCCAGCACTAAGAAGTAGTGATATCTCTGTGGAGGGAAGGATGACATTGCTGCCATGGAAGCTCCAAAGCCGTGGGACGCCAGTTTCCTGCTTACGACGGAGCTGTACCCTTTGAGAACACCAGCCAGGAGGGGGGACACAGCTTGTCTTGCCCTTGAAAGTAAGTTTTGGGAAAACTTTGCTGCTCCAGTATGGAGGAATGCTATCATTGAACATCCAGAGGCATCTGAAACTGAAGAGAGACTCACGTTACTCATGTACACATACATCTCATCTCTCCTAGTATCTGCTCACTGTCCTCCTCTGACAGGGATTTCCTCTGTGCTTCCCAGTGGAGGTTCCAGCATTGCAAACCTGAAATAACACAGTAACCTGCTCTAAGCACAACAGATGACATTTGGACTGAGCTTAAGGTGTCCAGAATCACAGGCAACTGAAAATTAACTTCTGCAAATGGCTCTAAATTAAGAACTATGAGACACACAACAGTCATGGCTCCAGGAACCAGATCACACCCCGCTACTGAACCTTGTCACAGCAGAACACAGCAAAAAACAATTAAACCACAGAAAATCTAATCTAAGTCCCATTGAAATTACTGAGGAGGCCTTTCATCTTTTCATATACAATGCGGTGTCTGATACATGGTAAGAATTAAATACAGCAATACACATATCAACACTACAACCCATCCAAACAGCTTGGTCCTGAAACACCTGTCAGCTGCACCAAAACATCCCACTTCCATTACAAATCCACGTGTCTGGTAGCTGGAAGGCTCTTACCCAGGGGAAGTTCTGATTTGCTCTGTGTATGAGGTTTCTCAGAGATGTGAATTTAGTTCTGCACTCCATCTCTTCCTTCAGATATTTCTCAGAGGAAAATATCAGGTCAACTAACCACATCCAGGGACTGCAAAAACTGTAAAATGCAAGCATGACTCTACAGGTTACAGTCTCCCTCTCAGAAAAACACCTCACTCAGCCATCACCTTTTGACATTTCTATTTAAATGCTATTTAATAAATTACATTATCTATACGAGGCTACCTGGAATTCCCCTTCTACTCTTTTTCTTTTAAAACTTTGCAGGAAAAACTTGCCAGGACTGTCACTATCCAAGGCAGGTCAGACTCAGGGCTATTAATAGATCTCTGGGGAGGAAGTTCAAGCCCAACCCATGGTGTTACATAGATGGGTACAGTGACTGACAGCGAAACAAGCTAATTGCAACAACTCAGTCCTCTTGAACAAGGATATGTTGTGTATGCATATATGTATGTGTGTGTGTATATATATTCACACACATCTCACCACACAGATATTTAAATTTATCCCTGCAGTTGGTCCCACTGCTCGTGGCTCTGGGAATAACTCCATGGCACCACGTGCCACCCACATGCCCTTTTTCTGAGCCTGGCCTCCCCACACCTGTGCTGGCTTTTTGCTCTGCCGTGAAGGGCTGCAAGTGCCCACCACAGGGCACGGAGACAAAACAGGCACAGCAAAAAGGGGACTCACCGCTCGTGAACAAAGTCACTGTTTGCACAAAAGACAGCATTTGCTCTCTCCCATCCGTTAGTCCGTCAGGTAAATAATGCACGTGCCAAAACACACACTTAATGAGGTAAATAATATGCCTTGAATAACAGCTAAATCTGTATTTACCTGCGAGACCACAGAAACTCAGAAGGACCAGATTAGGAGATAATTGCAGCTAAGCAGGTTGTGTGCTTCGAGTAAACACGCATTTGGTAACCTTCCCTTTCCAAGGTTTTGAGCGAAAGGCAAAAATCAAAGGAGCTGAGATGTTTAAGACCAAGCCAGTGCCCACACTGCCAATTCTATGGTGTATATGCATCCCTGCCTTAAGGCTTTCACGTTTTGGGGGGCTGCTTTCTTTATTAACACAGTGTGCCAGGCAGCAGGTACCTGGACAACTGAAAACTCAAGCTGCAAAACTGCATTTATTTTAAAGGGGCTCAGTTCTACCAATTGCCTCTCCATCTACAGCTTTGGCTGTCATTCATAAATGCATTACTGCCAAATAGAAGTTAGTTATATTCACTTCTAACCTGTGCCAGATAAGAGATATTTAAGGTATGCATGCTTTAAATCTTCAAGCTACTGGCCATGAATCTAAAGGCCCATCACAGCAAATATAGTATCTCAGAATAAAACAGCTTGTAAGTTAGTTGCAGTAAAACCTGGTCTTTAGCCTACTGCATAAAGTAAAATACACAGTTGGAGTGGGGGAGGCAGGCATGCTCCAACCCCTATATCAAACAGGCAATAAAACATACATTATCCACCCACCCACAGCAAGATCAATATTTCTCTAATGTATCTTAACTGGCAAGACCAGGGTTATCTGACATGGACCCCACGAATCTTCAGGCTGGGCTGCACCACACACTGAGGGGGCAGAGATTCCCGAGCCACTGAGTCCACACAGCAAAGGTAAACCAGCTGTCTTGGCAGGACTCAGGCACGTCAGCAGGCAGACAGGGCAGCACCACTCCACACCCCAGCAGGTCTGTGTCACACAGGTACCCTGCAGCAGCAGCAGAGGGAAATAACAGCCAACAGCCAGTGCCTGTTTACACTAACAGCTTCTGCAGAGGTTCATGTCTAGCAACAGGATCAGGCTCCCCATCCCAAAAGCAGCCTCTCTCCCATGTAGCAGAGGGAGCAATGCTCTGAACAAAGGTGTGAGTGGGGTATTGTAGAGCGATTTCCCTACGCAGGCAGCATACAAATAAGGGCAACCCCACTGCAAACTCTGCACCTTCAGCCAAATGAAGTTTTAACGGCATGTTTACCCAGCCACTGCTCTGGGTGCCCTGGGAAGACCTCACATCATCTTCTTTGGCAAGGTCAGAGTGCCCCAGAGCACAAGATAGCTGGTGAGCAAACACACTTTATTAGAAGTCATGTAAAGCATTTATAATGCTTTTACTAGTGCTAGGACAATGCAAAGCACTAGTAATTATCTCGTATTTCTTCCAATAGACAACGATGCAAGCAAGGTAGCTTCAAAAATTAAAAAAACAGCTCTATCCATATAAATCCACATGTCCAGTGATTCCATTTCCAAACCTACATAAAACATCACATATATATTTCTTATGCACACAGGATCAGATTATAATCTCAGACAGTGCAAGCTGTCACATCTGGCAGTCAACCCTACCAGGTTAATATTTCATATCACACAGCTCAAATTCCTCACACAGATACGTATAAGATGTAATGGGACCATGAACTGAGACTAGACCTCAGGAATTATTTTGACAGATTGTACACAGACCTAGGAAAATGTGACAGCACTTTACATTGGCTGCACCCAGTAAGATGGGAAATGGCCACATGTGGTGGGCTTCAGCTGGAAGATAAAGTTTGTGTTCTGTACTGTATAACAGCTTGTGTCCCATGTGACAGTACTTTGTCTAGTCAGCATCTGTATTTCAAAAAATAATTAAAAAAAAAAGAAAATTATTCTCTGGACATCAGCCGCAGGTACAATCCCAGGCTGACCACAGCTCTTGCTTCTTAGCAGTCCAAGCACATGGTACTAAAGCACAACAGTTTGATCACCAGCAAGTAAGCAAAGCCAAGTGCCAGCTGTAGCCACCAGCTTTGCCACTTTGCCAGGGGCCCCACTGAGTGCAAAGAGGAGAATCTGCACCGGCGGCTGCTGCGCGCCAGGCTTCCTGCTGGGAGAGCTGCTTAGGGACAACCAAAGTGGCAAGGAACACGATAGGGGACTCCTGCCCCGTGAAGAATGCTGGTGACAAGAGCCAGCAGGGCAGTGCAAGTGCTTTCCCCTGCCTGTAGGACAGCCTCAAAGCCACAGAGAGAGATGTGCACCACACAAATTCCAGAGGATTCAAATTCATCAACAGCAAGACAAATTAGCCTACAAACTTGAGTTTAATGGCTCTTTGCACATAACATAAATATGAACTTTTTAGAAGCACATCTAATTAAAATCACAGCTTGCCTTTAACCTCAAAATAATCCCCTTCACTGTCCAGTTTGATAAGCTGAGTAGGGAGGGGGCAGGAAGACAACACATAACTGCAGGATGGAGGGGTGACCCAAGAAATTACAGAGCCTTCACTTACATGTTAAATTACATTGTTATGGCAATACAGGCCTCCACCATTTTACAAAATAAACAAACAAACAAACCAAAGCAAAATACCCCCCCTAATATAAACAACAAGACAAACTGAAATTAAAAAATAAAAGCAAACAAGCTCTGGGAGTAAAACACTTCAGTTTATTATTTGTGCAAAGCCTCGATAGGGGCAGTTGTGACTCCTGGCCTCCAACAGACAACTTAGCTCAATGCTAGAGCAACAAAACCAATCAAAAATGTAAGTCAGGTTTGTCTATTTTATTAAATTGTAAAAAGATAGGGTAATAGAGATGCTTTTGATGGAACAAAATTGCATACATTTAGCAACATCTGGAACACAGTATAACAAAAAAATGCAGGACTTCAATTTTGGTAGCTGTTCAAATGCATACTCAGAGGTCAAATGTAAGCCCATATTTCACTTGTGTGAAGATATAACTGAAGAACAATAGAGATAACTCAGATTTTTTTTTTAAATCAACCTTAATCTAAACCCAAATTTTCATTAGATGAACTACAGTCCAAAAATGACAGCACCTGGCTAACCTGTGAGGCAGGAAACGAGAAACAAGACCAGCTTATCCACTCTCACCATCCAACCTTGCAAAAAAAAAAAAAATAAATACATAAAGTAAAACAAACAACAAAGGACAAAGATTTTAGAATCATTTAATAAAGTAACACAATTTTAGACAGGTAAATCTGCATCTTTAATTTGTTAACCTCACAGCACCATCTCTTGAACATGAAAACAGTACAATTCCATGGCTGCACTCCCTTCACGTTCGGCTGGGTTTGTCTCCGGCACTGCTAGACAACCAAGCCTGTGTTTTGGAAAATTTGTAATGTAACTTTCCCAAAGCATTGCCACGACATGCCTATATGCTGCCCCATCATTCCTCAGCTCAGATACAGCTTGGCATCCATCATTTTGTTTTTACAGCACTCCACAATCGCACCCAGGCTCTTCCCACTACAGACGAAGAGGTCCCTGTTCTCAAGAACTTACAGTCTAAAATTAGAAGCAATACAACAAGTGAGGTGAACAGCAGAGAAGAATGAAGGTTACAGGAGGATAGTTGGGCAACCACTCGTCTGGGAGAAACATGCATCTCAGCAGGTCAACCGAAAAAAATAATTCAGTCTACACAAGCACTGGTTTCCCCCTAAGTGCCATCATGGAAGAGATAAGTGAATAGGGGAAGGGCTGACTAAAGGACAGAGGGCACTCTCAGGCTAAGGAAGGTCTCTCTCATTTCTTGCGCTCATTCTTCCCGCTGGGTTCTTTGGCTGACCACATATGTCAGAGCACCAGAATCTCTTCCATTGTGACATCACAGACACGATGGCTTGTGAGATCACAGTGTGTGAGATCACAGTGTGTGAGATCACAGCGTGTGAGATCACAGCGTGTGAGATCACAGTGTGTGAGATCACAGTGTGTGAGATCACAGTGTGTGAAATCACCAATGTGTGAGATCACAGTGTGTGAAATCACCAATGTGTGAGATCACAGTGTGTGAAATCACCAATGTGTGAGATCACAGTGTGTGAGATCACAGCGTGTGAGATCACCAATGTGTGAGATCACAGCGTGTGAGATCACCAATGTGTGAGATCACCAATGTGTGAGATCACCAATGTGTGAGATCACAGTGTGTGAGATCACAATGTGTGAGATCACAATGTGTGAGATCACAATGTGTGAGATCACAATGTGTGAGATCACAGTGTGTGAGATCACAATGTGTGAGATCACAATGTGTGAGATCACAATGTGTGAGATCACAGTGTGTGAGGCTGAAGGCGCTGATTACTTAGGGGAGCACTTGCTGGAGCTATGGCACCCTACAAGGCTGGGAAACAAACACATCTCAGTTCACTTGACAACACAGTGAAACCCACACGAGACTCCACACCAGCAGGACGTGAACTCGTCCAAACAGACCACCCAGAAGCTGTCCCAAAGATGCACAGTATAATTCCACTCCAATTTTATTAGGCCACCTCTGCTAGGCAACCCACTTTCGTCAGCTCCTTGACTGGTCTCCTAAGACAGGCTTTGCTGTGTATTTTTAAACCTCCTCCAAGAGTAACTGCAGATGAGCAAACGGGTCTAAGCTGGAGTCTGAAGAAGTTCCACACAGCAAAGGACTGGTCACTTAGAAGAAACGTAGAGAAAGGAAAGAACAAAAATTAAAACAAAGTAACAACAAGGATGCATACAGCAAAAGCCACAGAGGAAGAGCAGATTTGCTATTAAGGAAAAGAACAGTTGCACAGGATCAGACCAAAAATCTTCTAGTCCGCTCTCCTGCCTCTGCCTGGGAGCGATAAGACAATGCACCAGGGTGAAACTACACACAATGAGGTTAATTAAAAGCCAGTAGTTCTGGGAGGCCAAAAGGAGGCTGGCCTGTCCTTCCCTCTCAGTCTTACTCTCCTGCTGATTACGTTACACCAGTTCCTGAGCTTGTCCGGCCCTTCTGTGAGCTGATTCAACCACAGGAACCTATAAAAGGACTAACACAGCCAGAATAAAGTGCAATTAAAACAAGATAGTTTCCGTCTGGTTCAGTGAGACAAACCAGCTTGGGGCCAGGCTGGATGAACACCAAAGCTCAAAGAAGAGGATGGGCCCACATTGGCATGAGCAGGAGCAAGATGAGTCATTGGGAGCTGTTGGTCAGCTCAGCTGCTCACCAAACTCAGACCAGGATACAGACACCTGGGATGGTGTGACACTTTCCAGGAAATGGAGAAGGTATCCCGGCTGTAGCAGCACAGACACATAAAACTGGAATTCCCAAAGCCCATCGGACCATCCTGACTGCACCTCATGTAATGCTGGCCATAAAGTTTCCACTTCCTTACTCAAGCCCAAAGGCTTGAACACCTTTCAGAAAAGTTTCTGGCCTTGAATTGCAGCATCAAGAATGGAGGTTCCCCACTACCTTCAGACAGCTCATTCCAGTGGTCAATCAACTGTCAAAAAATAACACGTCTTAGTTTTCACTCAAACTTTCCCAGCCCTGGTCTTTGAAGCAAGTTCTGAAATTTATGGCACTTCAGTGTACTCAGTCCACAGCACAGCTCCCAGTGCCAGGAGCAAGAGATTTGTAGCTCCTATGCATCTAGCCAGTAAAAGCTACTATTGCATTTTGGTCTCATTTAGTGGAAAAGAGCATAACCAACCACCCTTTGTTTAATGGACTCTGGCATGCATAATTACTTCATTTGCACACAGAGGAATGCTACAATTGTTCAAACCACTTACACAGCCACACACCTTTGTTATCTGAAAAAATGAAGGTTAACACCTGAGAGTGCCAAATGAATCTCAGTCTGGATCCAAGGAGACGAGATTTACGTTGCTCAACACAGTGGTCACTTTTGATCTTCACAAATGAACTCCAAAAGTGTTAAAGCTCTGTCCAGGTAGACTGGCAAATGCTCCAACCAGGGCATGGTTTCCACACAATCCAGCCTCAGTGAGTCTGGAAAACCAGCCAGGGAAGATGTTGACTCTAATATTCAACCATGGAAAAAAATTATGACTGTAACAAATACAGCTGAAATTTAAAAAAAAAATAAAAAAATTCTTTTTTGGTTGGGAGTGAAGTATCTTTACCTGCACAACATATCTGGAGAGAATATAACTTCTCAGCTGGCATTTGGCCAGCACAGATCACTTCTCTTAGAGGAGGGAAATGGTCCAAATGATACCTAGCAGCAACAGCCAGCACCTCTGCTCTAGGTTATGCTTTGAGAGCCACAACTTTTCCTCTTCTTCCCTCATTCCCCTGCTTGCCGTGGCACCATGCTGGTATGTTAGCTCACCACTACTAGAGAAAAACAGTGAGTCTCAGGATGACCACTTCCAGCAAAAATACCTGCTTCAGATCCAAGGACAGACTTGTGACAAAAGCACAGCTGCTTACAGCCTTCCGTGCTCTCCTGCAGCCACAGCTGGATGCCACCACACCTGCACTCTCTGGCCTTGTGGCCCTTTCCTAAAGGTGACCACTGAACTGAGACAGGGACAGAGTAAAGTGCAAATACTTGTCCCATTTAAGCCTCTTCCAGAACTCCATTTCTAAAATTTAATGGGGGGGGGGGGATAAAAATCAAATCAAGGCCTTCCAAAGTTAGCAGAATCAAAACAAGATAAGCACCAAGCCAGCTGTAATCAGGCCTCCTAAAGGAAGCAAACTGAAGTGTCTCTCAAGAGCAGAACAGAAACTTTAGGTCCTATCAGAGTATATTCAATCCAAGGACTTCTTTATTTAGCATCAAGCACACAAGCATTTTCTTTAATTCTTTAATCACTTTCTTCTTTTGGATTTTGGTAACACTCAAATACGTCTAGACACACACTAACTTTATTAAAAAAACCCAACACACCATTCATGTAGAGCTACCCAAAGTTTGAGATAAACAAGAACCATAAAAGGGCCACAGGGTCACTCTTCAATCAAAAACAGGCATTTAGTCCACGCTGCAAATTAACATTAAAATCCAGCTGCAAAGGGCAGAATTCAGTGCTTCAAAAAGGGAAACAAAAATATCTGAATTAAAAAAAACAACCGAAATCAAACTTCCCAAGCCTACACACTGAAGAGTAAACAACTGGACTTCTAACATACTACTTAATTTCAAAACAGAAGTTCAAATGCCAACTTTAACATCAAGCGCTATGAGATGCTACAACGTTGCAAAGAGCAACTACAGGACAAAATAAATTCAAGTTACCACTAAAAACAAATCAAGTACAACCCTCAAGCAGCTGTCTAACAGCATCTGATGGGACAGGTACATCTGAGATGTACCTTCCTGGAGCCCTCATCCTTCCTGAGGCACAGTGCAAGTGTCAACCTATTAGAAAACTTTCTGGTCCCTTGCATCGCAGCTGAAAGAATACTAAGAGTTCAGACTAAGCACCATCTGTCAATCCACCATTTCTGAACACAAAAGCTCAATAAAAAACCAAGATAAATAAAGAAGTAGTAAAACAAACGTTGGACTTATTAGCAAACAGACCAGCAGTGACCACGAAAATCCACCAGACACAGGACTTGTAAAAGAGAGAACATAAGCAGTAAATGATAACACCTCTTCATACATCTCAGTTTGGAAGAAACACCTGTAAGAGCACAGCAGCGAGAAAAGAACAGGAGAAGAAATTCCTACTGCCAGTCAGGAAACAAGTAAACAGACTACACTCCTAAGCTTTCTCAAGTTTACTTCAGTCTCAAGATCTGAGGCAGGTGATCAGTTCAGTCCCACAGGTAAAAAAAAATAAATCAGGGGAGTGGAGGGGAAATCAAACCTCCTACTCCCCCATCACTTCCACCTATGAACCTCCCCATCCCAAAAGGAACATGGAAAATCCTCCCTGCTGCTGCCTCCTGCGCGCCCCGCGCACACCCCCCCGGGCAGACGGGCTTCTGTCCCTTCCCCAAGCCCTGACAGCCACCGATCCCGCTCCAGCTGGGACCTGGGGGACTGCTGCCACCGCCAACACCGGCACTTACACCCCCGGCAGGGCCTGGCCGCCGGGGCGTCGAGCGGACGAGATGCCAGCACCCCGCGCCCTCCCCTCGGCCCGGGGCCGCCCCCTTGGCTCCCCCGGCCTCCCCACAGCCTCGCCCCGCCGCGCCCCGGCCCCCAGCCCGGCCCACCGCCCCACGCCCCCGGCCCGGACCCCGCAGCCGCAGGGGAGCCGGGCCGCGCCCCCGCTCCGCGCCGGGCCTCTACCCCCTC